TGCCTAATTGATCCCTGGGTCTTCTCTGCAGACATTCTGTCACCCAGCTGTCTGGTATCCAACCAGTTTATGTTTTATTTAAACAGTTTCTGCTGTTGGCAATTATCAGATGTGGTGATCCTCCAAAGAGAAGGAGGTGTTTCTCCCCTCCTCTGGAGCAGAAAACTGAAATGAATCCTGCGCCCTCAGGAACATTGAGTGAATTTTGAAGACAGCAAATTAAGCTTCCAATGTACCAAGGAGAGTACCAACCTTTGAGTGCAATACATGTGGGTCATATGAAAATGAGGCTAAGCTGTGGTCTGCTTTGCACTTTCAATGTGGTGACTGTCTACGGGCTTAGCTTTTGTTTTCAACAAGTCTACTCCTTTTCAACTAATGCTTCCTATGAGATTCTGGTAACAATAGATGCAAGCCCCAAGAAAACTTTTGTATAGTTTTATCAGCTTTATTATTGTTCCAAACATTGCGTGTAATATATGAGGATTTAAGCCTTTCATCTTTCTCACCAAAGCTACCTTTTGTTAGCATACACTGATGTATGTGCTGTATGCCATCAAAAGACCAGCCAGCACAACAACTCAGTGAGAGTTCAAATCAGCACTTCAGCTCCGCTTTGCACACGCCCTGCTGAGTACTCGTACTCCCACTGTTCAACACACTGCCCACAAAGGGAGATGTTAGGGGGGCAGACAGCAGCCTTTTCAGCGCTGTCAAACAAAGAAAAGGCCAACGCTACGGCAGGAGCAACCAGGGCAGCAAAGGCAGACAGACGAGAACATATTTGATTCAGTCTGAGACAGTACTAGGGTTTTTTGTTCAAACAGCAATCTAAGTTTCTAGGTAAGACAATTTCCCAGTGACGTTTTTGCAATGTGTGGATACGACATCTATTTTGCCAAATCATTTGTTGTGTATTCTGCTCCCTACTTATTTTGCATAGCAGTAATGGCTTTCCCTGCCTGTTTTTTTTTAATCCATTACAAACAAATCACGTCCTGTCTGTAGCAACCACAACCAAGATGATAAAATGTCTCACTATCCGTGTGCCAGGGGAATTTTTACAAGATGTGTTAGGAACAGCAAATGTGAACGCTTCTATTTGCTGGTAATTACTGGAAGAAGTGACAAAGTGTATAATTGTAATCAGTGATTCAAAGAAAATTTTGATTATGGCTCTCTGGGGGCTGTTTAATCAAAATAGTATTCATAAGCCATGACAGTTTAACAAATAGTTGTTTTTTGGTGGGTTTACCTTGTTTAGAGGCTGAAGCCTTCTCAAAGCATCACAAAAACAAGAACAAATGCTGTAGTGCCACCCCCACTCCACTGCCTGAGGATGCAGGAAGACTTGGTAAACCGAGGTGTTAATGTATTCCAGCTCAGAGACTGCAGAGGCACACTGTGTGCACTGATGTGACATTAATGACAGAAACAGGAATGTCATGTTGCACATGAAACCACACACACATGAACACTCGTATTCTTGATGCCCTGGGGTGATGTTTTCCAACCACCAAGCAGCTTGCTGGGCGAGATCGAACATTGCAGGCTGGATTTCCGGGGGACTCCTCTTAGGGTGCATTTTGTTTGATAGTGATGCTGACAGGACACAGCAAGCACGACTGACACGCTGTCGGTTCCCTTCAGTCAGCTGGAACCTCATGTTTAAATCAAGCTCATCAACGACCTGTCAGGGTGAATATTTGTCTGTTGGCTAGAAAATGAATCGATATAGTTGAGGCTAATATGGAAGATGATTTCTGCCAGGAAACTGACAAGAGAAAAAGGAGGACACTGTCAATTTAAAACACTCGTGTTGTGTCAATATTTTAAATTACTACGTGAGATGTCATCTATTATAAATACATTTTGAATCTGTCAATCATATGCAACACAAAATATTAAATACTAACAAAAACACAGCAACATGGTTTGCAAACCTGTTATCTGTGATCTAAAGTATACAGGATGTATGGTCAATTGTATACAAAGGTTGCTTCCACTCTGGGTTTTATGAGCCCTACAGGGGCCTGAGATGAGTCAGAGGGGCGATTTATGATGTAGAATATGAATAAGAAGACATTAAAAAAAACACACAAAGTTAAGCTTACTTTTTTAAGACACTTTTGGTGTTACCTTTGTTTTGTCTTTTCATGGCCAATGGCAACAACATCGTTAGAAAACAAAAGATTACTGTGTTGTCACAATTTTAATTGAGGTTTGTTATGCCATGATATCAACCTGAAGTTGAAACTGCTCAACAAATAGATCATGTGTCAGCCTCAATCTCTTCACAAAAAATACGATTTTGTACCATTTACATTTTTTCTTTTATCATAAAAAACTGTTTTGCTGGTTGAGTCTAGAGGCACAAACACATTAGTATGTGGATCACATTTTGTACTGTGTCCACAGATGCACAAACACACACCCAAGCAAAGTCTGTTGTTGGTGACATGCTGTCATCGGGAGCACATCCATTCATTGCGGCTGTCAAAACAGCCTTCCTTTGGGGCATCCTGCTGTTGTGACGCATATATCACAACTCATGCATCATTCTGGCTTGGTGTGATAACTAGTGGCTCATCCTAAAATATCTATGTTGCTTGAAATATTGAACGCTTGTTAACACATGTATCATGAGTGACATGAGAGCTGCATCATTCAGTGGTTGCATTAGCTTTTACTCTTTGATGAAGTTGATTTTCTTTCTCCTCTGAGCTGATGTGGGTTTATCAGTGTAATATTTCCTTTTTGAAACAATTATCTTCTACAAAAATAAAAATACTCAAAATTCAACATTCAAAAGCTTCAATGATTTGAGAATAAACGATCCAATACGTGATGCCAAAAACACGTATAATCATGTGAAACTTAACACATGCTTTTGGGGGCAATCCCTGAATAACACAATGGAGTGACACATGGATGCCTCTCTTCGATGTCACTTAATTGATACACAATGGAGAGTGCGGTCATCACCGGCGGGGCGTTGAGTAAGCTGACAGACAGGCCATGTCACATGTCAGCTTTCAGAGCGCTGTTCAACATGTCTCCTCCTGACTGACAACCCACCCCAATTAACCTCAAACTCCAAAACAGACAGGAAACACATACAAGTACACCTGCTCTCTCCCAAACTCAGACACACTCACCCTCGCTGGGTGTGTGACAGCTGTGGAGCATTGTCTTTATTCATTCAGCGCTAATTGACCTTGTTCTACAGGGCCCGTCTTGAGCAAGGGAAGGCATTGTTTGCCTGCTGCATGTGTACGGTTATATAGCTACAGGCAATCAGTTAATAAATAAATAGATAAATAAAATACCTATAGAATATAAATAGAACATGTGAAGGTTTTTCTATCAATTACCAATCTATGCCGATGTTCAAGGTAAAACCTGAATTGAGAAAAAATACTGATGGTTTTCTCAGCTTATTAAATGCAGGACCATGTGGAGATGGAGCTTTTTACTTCTAAGTATGTCACTCTGGGTCCCTCTAGTGTGGTAACAGACAGATGGGAGGAGGATTTTAAGCCTCCATGGCATTCAGTACAACAAGGAACATAGGCCTGATAGAGGGTTTGTGTTAAATCTTGAATAAATAACATATGATTGGCGTGCAAAATTATGTATTAGTGTGTTTAAGGTTATGTTTTTGGAGCTGGCAATACATTTTTTTGAATATGATTTGATTGTCTCCCCAATTCCCTACCCAAGATTACTGTTTTAAATTAAACAGCATTTCATATTTAGAGACTGTTTTATGGAAGCGATAATAAGCCACACTTTCAAACAGTGAAATAGAAAAAATAGAAAAAAGAATGGACTGAGTGAAATGTTGGCCAGCAGATAGCAAGCAACATTCAAAGAGACTCATTTAGATGTTAATAAAAGAGAAGGCAACATAAGGCAAGGCAAGGCAAGGCAAGTTTATTTATATAGCACTTTTCAACACAAGGCAATTCAAAGTGCTTACATACAACATACTCCCTATTTCTGGTTACGTTATGTCCACATAACTGCATTAAAGAGGTAGAAGGTGGTATTGCATGAGATGAAGATTGAAGAAAGCACAGGACAAGTTTTTATTTCTATTTATAAAATCTACAGAACCAATCTCATATACTGTACCTGAACATACAGTATATTACCTGGGATCATCACTGATCACTATCAGCAGGTTGGAAGCGCTTTGTGTAAGGTGAGCCCAGCTATAAGAATTTTCTTTATCTGGGAAAGGAGAAAAATACGATTTTGTTAAGTTTATTCTACTCACCCAGGACGATGGATGAGAAAGTTGTGTACTCAAAAACAAACCTCCCTTGCATAATCATATATTTTATTTAGAGAAATGATAGCCTTACATTTCCTTTAAAAAGATAAGATACAAAACCACATATCATGTAGGCTATTGTTATAACATTTCACAGATTCAAAAATAATGAAAATGGCTATAGCCAAACTCAATAAAGAGTAATGTTACACACAAAAAAGTATTTATAATGTGGGTTAATCGCGGGACCGAGTAGGCAACTGGGTCAATCCAGCACTGACCCAACTTTCAAATTCATCCATTAGCATAACAACCAACTTTAACAGATGGGTAATTTTGACCCATTTTTTAAATATTATTTCCATTGTTGGTACCCTCTGTAGTGTTACTTTAATTTGTTATATTAGGTTGTCAATTAAACCTATATTTGCTCAAGGTTAACCAGCTGCAACATAGTGACACTTAGGTTATGATGCAATAATTAATGTTAAGAAGCAATGCCATTTAAAATGTGTATTGCTCCATATTAAGGAACTGAATACTTGTTTCATTGCTGACTGTAGAACTAGTTTAGACTGCATTAGTGTGGGCAAGGTTTAGTTAATGATGTTGAACTTTGAACATAATTCTTAGAATGTCTAATTCTAGCTGTATAACTCCAGACTCACAGGCAGGGTGAATTTAGAATGACCCGGAACAAAATCACTTAGGCCTACGGGTCAGGTTATTAATGTATTGCTTGCTGACTGTGCTGGGACTGTGCGTCGTGACTGTCCGTACAAATGGCTTCGCAGCAGCAGATGAAGCACGCGCTGCAGCAGTGCATTGATGCACAGAAAGACGAGCTGCACAGTTTAAGTCGGGACATTTGGAGCAACCCCGAGCTCAGCGGAAACGAGACACAGGCGCACGACAGGCTGGTCCGCTTCTTCTCTCGGGACAAAACATGGACGGTCGACAGTCACTACAAACTACCCACCGCATTCCGGGCCGTCTGGGATCTGGTCGGTGGCCGCGAGGGAGCACTGAACGTGGGCTTCCTCTGCGAGTACGACGCGCTTCCGGGTATCGGACACGCTTGCGGGCACAACCTGATAGCGGAGGTGGGAGCTGCAGCCGCTCTGGGGCTGAAAGCTGCTTTAGAGAACCAGAGTGAACTCCTTCAACCAGTTAAGGTAACCATTCAGGTTAGGTTCAAATAAGAAGGCAAACTATGACAGCTCACTGTTTTGATAACTTTGACTCTCCACACAGGGCCCCTAGACATTTTGGTGCCCTAGGCCAGTGTTTCCCAACCGGGGGTACGCGTACCCCTAGTGGTACGCGAGGGAACTGTAGGGGGTACGTGGAATTCCAAGGTGACAAGTAAAACAAATAATAATCCCGTCAAAAATGATAGTGCGCGATTTGTTTCCCTAGGGAAACAATAGTCTGTGGCACGCACAACCGCGCCAAAATCCCACAATGAAAACAGCTGTTTACCTGCAGCCAGAAAAATACTGGTAGATCTGCGCTATGGATAAATGGCTGAAACGTCCGCTTGCTCTGGATTCAGGCCAGAGTTCAGAGGAGCCCGCCGAGAAACGTAAGAAAGAGGCCAAACTGAAACCAAGGCAGTACAGTGAAACATATATATTATTTGGATTCATTTATACTTCTGCGGACCCACCGCAGCCTCAGTGCTTCTTTTGCGGTGAAGTCCTGGCTAATAGTGCGATGAAGCCAGCGCATTTACAGAGACACCAGAGCACCAAACACTCGGGAAGTGTCGATAAAAGTGAATAATTTTACAGACGAAAGCTGTCTGAATTTAAGTCGAGCCAGACAGTAATGATGAAAGCCACGAATGTGTCAATGAAAGCACTCGAGGCATCTTACGCCGTGTCCCTGCTTGTGGCTAAATAAAAAAAACCTCACTCTATTGTTGAGCTCATTCTCCCTGCAGCGACTGCGTTGGCCGAAATTATGATAGACAAGAAAGCAGCCGAAGCACTCAAGAAAGTTCCCCTGTCGAATAACACCGTATCCCGTCGGAATCGGATCAATGATATGTCTGTGAATATAATTGGACAAGTGGTGAACAAAATAAAACTAGCCGGTCAGTTCGCTTTGCAGCTGGATGAAATGACAGATGTGAGTGGAGAAGCGCAGCTCCTGTCCTTCGTGCGTTACAAAGATGCGTCGGACATAAACTATGGAGGTTATTCCCTATCTTTATTCAAGAGCGTGGTATTTAAATTTGAGAGCATACTTTATGTATTTATTTTCCTCAAACCCTGTCCTCGCACTCCAATAGTGCCTGCTTGCACTTAGATTAGCTCTGCTTCTGCTCAAACTGTACGCTTGCACTCAGATATATTGCTGTTTACAGATTTGTTCTGCTCTCAGATGTATTCTGTGCGCGCTCGAAACTTTTGTGCAACAATCCTGTCAAAATCCCTCAACCAATAGGAGGCCAGGTGTCCTTGCGGGTGCGTTCGCTTTACTTATTACAGCGTCCCGTAAGGGCGGTTACTCTTTGGTTTATAAACTCCCGCCCTCCACGGCTTTATAACATAGCATGTACTGCACTTGTTTGATTTACAACTACCTTACATAATAGCTACGTTCAGTGGCGAACTGGGACTAAAAATCAGCCCGGGAATAAAATAAAATCGTCCCTCCGTTGCCTTCTGCACATGTTGCTATGCAACAACAATAACAGATAGCGAATGTCGTCGTTTAGGTGCTTTTTTTTCTGGAGATAGGCACTTCTCAATCCACTCCTCCATAGTAAGCCCACCCCGGAGGTCGAAGTTAACCTTAAATGTTTCCATCTTAAGCTTAGTTAGTTAGTTAGTTAGTTTATTATATAAAGTTTAGTTTAGGATTTTATAACTGTTCTCAGACGCGGAGGGATACTGATTTGTGAAAAGTAACAACAACTATTCCCTGGATATAGGCCTACGCTCATTATATCACGGCTAAGAAACATCAGATTGCTTGATTTGACTTGTCCGTTTTATAAACATATACTAACTGTGCTTAACCCCCCCCCATCCCAAAAAAAAGTTGTAAATGACTGGTGAAAAGAAACTGCTAGGCCATACTGATTCTGGATATTATTTTGCTAAGTGTTTTGTTCCTGAATTAAAGTTTAAATGCCTGTTTAAAGGGGACTTATTCAAAGGGGCTCCATGGTTTAAGCCTAAATGTTACAAGATATATATAGCAAAGATAAGTTGATTATTTTGATTTCATATGTATTTATTTGATTATATTATTTATTTTCAAGGCAACATATTCATTTTTATTGAGTGATTTAAGTTAAAATTAAGAAAATGCCTGAGAATTAGATGTTCAAATTAAGGAGATGAAATAAAGTTATTTTCATTCAATAATCAGTTACGTTCTACTTGTGAAGGATCATCAGCACGTATGAGTGAGGGGGTACTCATGGTATGACAAAAGGCTCAGGGGGTACACAAGACAAAAAAGGTTGGGAACCACTGCCCTAGGCGATGATGATTTGGTGCCCCCCCCCTCCAAGCAATACACAATAGAATATATAAAGAATAAATGAAAAATCTCTACAAAAGACCAATACACTACAAAAACTGAAACGTTTTGACATGTTGGTTATATACATGAAGAAGGTTTCAAATGTATTCATTATTGAATGAACATGTTTTAATTGGCGGGTGGACGTCACATCCTCTAGGGGGGGCCAGGGATATGCTCCCCCGGAAAGATTTTTTTCAACATTTTAAAGTAAAATGCTTCAATCTGGTGCACTTTAAGCACACAATTACTAGAGACTAGATCTAGGGGGTACAACTCTAAAACACCCATATGAAAATCGGTTTACATTTTAATAATCAAATAAGTATGTGAACATAACCAATAACCCATAGCCAATAATAAATAAATGTAACGTATTTTATTTTTGTTGTTCATTCATATCTTATTTTACCTAGTTAACATTTAGTAATGCACATTGTTTAATATCTCCAGTTTTAAACGATATGTTTGGTTACTGTCCTATACATTGGAATGATTTCAAACCTGTTTTTATTTATCCTAATAATTATAAAGGTGTGCCTTGGAAATATTTGTTTAAATTGTGACCAAACCGTTTGAGACCCACTGAGATAACTTCAGTGATTCCCACAGCATGTTAATACTTTGGGGGGCCCCCAAAGTATAATGGCTCCCCCCAAAGTATAATTTGTGTGTTCTTTTATTTTTTTTTACTCAGTGAGCACTCATTTGCATTTGCATTGGTGGCAATGAGTGCTCAGTGAGTAAAAAAAACTTAAAAAACCATAAATTATACTTTGGGGGGAGCCACCCATAAATTATACTTTGGGGGGAGCCATTATATTGGTAAACAGCCTCTATGGGCGCGAGTCCAGACCCACTTTTGGAATCAAATGATGACGTTAGTGGGATTATCTCCTTTATCAACTCCTAAGCATCCCCGGGACAACATCACTAGCCCCGCCCCTAAAAAGGTGTGAACTTGAGCCAATCAAGGACTACTACTACTAGGTCGTCCTTAGACGAGTTTGCCAACGGGTTCGCCAATCCTCACGGTCCTCCATACACCCGGCCAGCTCTGTGGAGCTTTCCACCCCCACATCCTTCCTCAGCACCTCCACGTATGTTGGCGTGGGGCGCCCTCTTGGTCGGTGCCCGTGTGTTGGCTCCCAGAGTACTAACTTGCCAGCTGGAAGTTCCTGGTGTCGATGGCAGTGACCTGCAAATTTCAGTTTCCTGGATGCCACCTTGTCACTCAGCCTGGGTAGCCCACCAGGACTAGCCCCGCTCCTAAATTTTTGAGAGATTTCTGAGGAGATTTTTTTTCACGCACCCCCCCCCCCCCCCCCCCCCCCCCACCCCGAGTCGTTCCCCCAAAGTATATTTCATTTCTGCGGGAATCACTGAACTTAGACTAAAGTGAACTATCTAAAGTTGAACACTCGTTGAGCTGTAGTTATCAGCCTCAATCCAACAACAATCCGCGGTACCGATACGCGCCCTCTCTCTCTCTCTCTCTCTCTTGCTCGCTCGGAGGCTCCCTCGCACTTTGGCTGTGAGCTGCGGGCGCCTGATAAGTCAACATCCCCCACTTTCATCACTTACAGCGCCCATCGTACAGGGCAAATGCAAAACGTTCCCGGCCCGGGGTGCAAAGGGTGTTTACTTTATTAAATTATTAATGAAAATGTATTACATCAAGGGCAGTATCAAGCAGAATAATAAAAATAAAAAAAACATTTATTATAATTATTTTTCTCCCAGCGCAGCGCCCCTCCAGATCTGGCGCTCTAGGCGACCGCCTAGTTAGCCAGTGCCAAGGGCCAGCCCTGTCTCCACAGTTCTATGAGTCAACTGCTCTTCACATTTTCAGAAGTAAAGAACTGTTGGTCTTTTGCCAAATATAGCAAGGGGATAGGCTTTATTCCAACATCTGAGACTTAACAAGGGCCACATTTCTTGACCTAGTGCTTCAACACCCCCAATGACATATCTATAAATTCCACAACAATTCCATAAAATCTAAAAAGAAATCAACATTTTCACTTTAACATAGCACACAAGAAAATTCAGATAATAGAGAGATATATGACAACTAAGCATCATAATACTTTTTATTTGTAAAAAGTGTTTATATGATGATGTCAATAGACTGAACAAAAAACCTTTTACCCAGATAACAGTATTGGGAACTCCTGCGGAGGAGGCTATAGGAGGAAAGATTGACTTGATCAAGGCAGGTGCGTTCGCTGACATGGACCTGGTCTTCATGGCTCACCCCGCTCAGCAAGATGCTCCATTCCTGCCCGGTGTCGCTCTCGATGAGTGAGTTCACAGCTTTTATAAGTTCACAACCTGCTCTGTGGATGTTAACCTCTGTTGTATATTTCAGATATCCATTAAAGCACTTTATTGATGTGACACAGGGTGATAGTGAAGTACTATGGGAAAGCGTCTCATGCTTCTGCGTACCCTTGGGAGGGAGTGAACGCCCTGGATGCTGCTGTGCTGGCCTACAGCAACCTCTCTGCACTCAGACAGCAACTCAAACCAGAGTGGAGGCTTCACGGTGAGAAACAGGCAGAATCTGTGATCAGCTGGGCTTTAAAGTTTATTAAAAACAGTCTCCCCTCAAAGTCATTTTACTACCATTTACATGAGAAGTTCTTCATGTGGTAAGAAAGATAAAATGTATCAACAAAATTGCATGATGAGGTCAGTGACGTGATTGAATTACTTGTTATAAATGAACCTTTGCAAACTTATGCCGCTGTGTGTTGTCTTCATATGACAGTGAAGTTGCACAGACATTTAATGTAAATATAGCAACCAGAGTGTATCTATGTGAGGCAATTTTCCAAGTATTTAAAAATGTTTCAGCAATATTCTCAGATGGTGTCATGACACAAATTTGTCAAATCACGCCTTCCATAATGCCTCCATTTTGTCAAGAGCTAGCCCACATATCTTCAAATAAAATAAACTCAATATATCAGCAACAAAATAGAAAGTGCTTAAAATAATTACTGTGATAAACAAATACTGCAGGTGTGACGGATGCATCCCATCTTATGCTTCCTCATGTAATTTTTTCTCCAGGCATCATCAAACATGGAGGGGAGAAGCCCAACATTATCCCTGCCTACACCGAGTTGGAGTATTATCTGCGCACGCCGCTGGTGAAGGATCTTTTTGACCTGAAGGCCAAGGCTGAGGCTTGCTTCAGGGCAGCTGCTGTTGCCACCGGCTGCCAAGTAAGCTTACCTAAAAAATTCGACTTCCTCTAGCTTCCCTCGGGCGCAGATGTAAGCACAAACAGTGTGTTTTAACAAATCTTAGGAATGCAACGTTGGAGTTGACTGCTGTTATATAATATTGCCCTTTTTAACATATTCCTGTTTTAATACTCCCAAGTTTTGTTTGACTCTTACATAATTCACCGTTATCTTCAGGCGGCTTTTCTCCTACGTCTGCACTTGCTTCAGGGAAGTTAAGCTGAGATTAGAGAGCATGCACGGAGTGCCATATTTGTTGATGTATGAGAGTAATCTCTATTGTTAAATGTCATATTTTTTAAATGAAAGAATACTTGTGTTTTCTTCAGGTGGAGATAATCTACCCATACGATTCCTACTATAACATTCTGCCTATTGCCACGCTAGCAAACCTGTATACAAATAACGGAGAAGCTTTGGGGATTCAGTTTCCAGAGCAGCCAAACAATTTTTCTGGTATGTGAAGCAAAAAAAACATGAATCATACATAATTATTGCTTTTTATCCTGGTTTGTGCAGGAAAACTTTAAATACCGTAGGTGTACAGCTTTCTATTGAATTTAATGAACAAAGAATAATTATTGAAGGGTATTTATAATTATCTGGCAGGTTCTACAGACTTTGGCAACGTATCATACGTAGTCCCCGGTATCCATCCTTTCTTCTACATCTGCACTGATGCGCTAAACCACACTGAGGAGTACGCTGTGGCAGCAGGTAAGGCAGCATGTGTATATTGTGAGCAGATGTTCTCTCTTTGATTCAATCAGACGGTTTTCCAGGTCACTTGGTTTGTCTCTTTAGTTTCTATTTACTTTTTTCTATGTGCCAGGAGCTGAAAAGGCCCAGTTGTACACCCTGAGGACTGCCAAAGCCCTGGCTATGACAGCTGTGGATGTAGTATGCTCCCCCGATCTGCTGCGGAAAGTGAGAGAGGACTTCAGCCAAGCCAAACTGAAACAGGGGAAACACCTGGGAGGCACGGATACATCTTTGACAGCTCCATAAATACAATAATATGAATAACAGTTATAGAAAATAGTTGTTCAGGGTTGTGTTGGGCTTTTAAGTCTAGGTCTACCTATGTTGTAAACATATTATCTTTTCGATTTACACACGGCATCTATTGCACGTCTGTCCGTCCTGGGAGAGGGATCCCTCCTCTGTTGCTCTCCCTGAGGTTTCTCCTTGTACGATGTGAGGGTCAAAGGACAGAGGGTGTCGTATTGTCATACTGATATTTTGTACAAACTGTGAAGTCCACTGAGACAAATATAACATTTGTGATATTGGGCTATATAAATAAACATTGATTGATTGAGTAGATTCCTATACATAGTATGGTTACTTTTGAAGGAAAGAGCTTAAAGAAATATATGAATAATACTAATAATAATTGTATTAAGGACACCACAAAGAGAAGGTGTGGCATAAATACAATTAAATAATATAGAAGAAATACATTCAAATAGAGTACTGAAAACTAGTAATACTTAGCAATACATAAGCAGATTCCAAAATAAAAATTAGGAAACTGCACCCACATGAAAAATGCTTGCAAACTACAACTGAAATACCACCTTTTATTAGGTTTATTCCGACTAGATCTGATGCTTGTCGAGGTTCGAAACCAGCATGGGTACCTTTTCTTTCAGGGCCAGGACCTGGAAAAAGTGACCTTTTGAAATCTAAAAAATATTATAAAGATAATAATTTGCCATCCGTCTAATTGTTTTTGCATTTAGCGCTAATTAACAAATGTTATTATGCTAAACCTAAACTAAGATGTGTTGAGGTTTAGCTCCAAGCACTCTGTGCCAAAACCAAAACAGATTGCTATCAGGGCTGCCGACTTAGTTCTGTGGACTCTCTACTATCTATACATCCAGAACCACAATTCAGATAAGCCTAAAACGTCACAATCTTTTGTACTGGTGATTTGATACACTGTTCATAATTGTACGAACAGTTTTTGTAGAGAATGTAAGAATGAACGTATCTCATACATGAACTCAACAGAAAGGATATTGCTTTGAGTTCTGCCATTGGTCTTTTTACTCCTTCAGATTTCTCAGCATGTTTTCACCAGCAGCACACAGGTCGATTCAAACGTTTGCTTCCCTTGAGCGCCTTGGAGTGGTCACAGATGTGGTGGAAAATCCAGTTCTGGACATCTTTTTGGATGCTTTATTCTTTTCATTTCTTTCTGCTGCAGGGATTCAGTTTGAATTGTCAGCTTGCCCTTGGTGATGTTACTTGAACAAAAAAGACAAGTACAAAAAAGAAAGAAAACCTATACTCTTTTGTCTGTAAGAAATCAGAAAATGGGCTTAATGTATTAAAGCCAAGTTTCATTGATACTTCTCTACTTCAGAGGATATATATTTATATTCTGTAATACCATTAACTGCTCACATGTGAAATAAGGGATTTATAGATATATATGATTTGGTATGAAGCTAATCAGCAATATCAGACCTGTGCTGTAGAGAGAGGAGAGGCAAAGTCTAATCACTGAAAGCTTGTCCTGCAGCGCTGTTTAAATATACTGTAAAGGAGAACAGGATAATTGGATTAAATTGTGAGACTCTAGAGGTTGTACCAGAAAAATGTAGCCAAAAGCTTTAACTGTTTTGAGCAGATTTTAATTGATGTCTTCAGAAGCAACATTCAGAAAGAAGCGATATTCAGCCATGCAGCAACATCCATTTACATCTGTACATGTATTACACTGAGGAGATTTAAAATGTACAGTATTGTGATTGTGTTCTTCAGCACCTGTAAGCTCATTATCAAACATGTTTCCCATTGATACATTTTTTACCAGCGTTTGCTATAATATCAGATTTTCTTGTCATAAAATTGTCATTAACCACCAAAACATAATTGAGTTTATAGCTGAAAAAGACGATAACACTAGCAACTAACAGGTCACTGTAACCTCAAAGCCTCACAACATCAAACAGAGGAGATGAGCTTCAGTTGTATAAAATATTGAAATATGAAATTAGTACATTTATCAAGTCAATACCATAATTCATGTTTGGGATTTACTTAACATAAATATTAACATTTGTGTTTTTATTGACTGCATTTGTTGCTCTTTTTCTTTATATTGAACTATGTCGAATTACAAAAATGCACGACAGTAAGTAACTTGACAGCAAAATAATTGCAAGATCACCAGAACATTTAACACATTCTGAATCAAACTAACGTGCTGCAAAGGAAACACTTTAAAATAATCACATTATCAGGTTTTTAGAAGAAAATTCTTTTTTTTTCTCATCCAAGAGCTGAGATTTTTACGACGAAGAATGATATCTAGAATATAATAACGACAAACCAACCTTGAATATTTTCAGTTTGCCATTGATTGTCACGTCTAGTTCATATACAAAAGAGAAGGAATGTGTCTGTAATCCGCTTCCAGTTCATATTTTAATTAAAGAGTTGTAAAGAGTCACTGCATTGATAACTGAAGTGAGTTGAGCTGCACAGAAACACAGGTCCATGTGTGTGAGTCTCTCTGTGAAGTACGTTTTCAGGACACAACGATATCCAAACGTCTATAATTACAACATGAAACCACACAGATTTGACGGAGTGATAAAAACAGCTATGTCGACCATCCTGTCCGTCTGTAGCTGATTTGAAATTCTCCAGTTTTAAGTGGCTGGCTCGAGAAGGCAATGGTCACCAATCTGTCAGTGGTCCCCATGCATCATCATGTCTGAAAAGCATCACGTGTTCCTCCTCCTGCTCCTGGAGTCTCATCATCATCTTCTGCATCCCCGGGTTATGAGTAGATGGACCAATAGATGATGTTAAAGAGGATGTACGCTCCAGGAAACATAACCCTGGAGTACTTGTCTATAGCGTGGGTGTCTATCCAAACGTTCACGTAGCCTCTGGAGGCCTTCACCTGGCCTGTGATCTGCGGGTCATTCAGAGACACCTGGGCCAACATTCTGTCCTGGCGACCGCCGTTCACCGGCATCCCATAATTCCCCGTGTTGTTGACATCCATGGACCCGTAGCCAGTGATCTGGGGGTCGTTCATCATGTCGTCAGGGTTACCAATGCCGCATGTACACGGCAGCTGGAGGAGGAAAAGGAACAAAGTCATTTTGACACTGAAATCTGCTCATTGTAAAGTCATAAACTGAAACAAAGAATATAAATCCATTAGTTTGTTAAATGTTATTTTTCTACACACTGAGTGACTTTAAATCACTTTGGCTTGAAACATTTATAGAACGAAGGATGTTTGCTGGAAATGTTCCTCGGGGTACGTGGGCAATTTGGCTCCAGATGCTGTGGCATTTGGCAGATGAAGAACAGTAACACAGGAGCTGTAAGAGAAGCCGAGAGAAGCTTAAACTGAGCCAATTTAGAAAATATGTATCTGTTTATTTCAAATGCCCATGAAGTATTCATGCTTCCACCGGTTTTGAAATAATTCAATGTATAAAACATTTGGATATAAAATCAGGTCAGCCAAGTGCTGTTTTGACTTAGAGAGAGCTTAATAATAATACATTTTATTTTAGGCGCCTTTCATGACACCCAAGGACATCGTACAATTTGTTACAAAATAAAACACTAATAGGCAACAGAACATGATAAAAACACAAACACGAAATCATGGAGGAGACAATCAAGTGGACACAAATGAAACATATAATGGGGAGCACTACAGTGAGTAGGCAGATTTGAACAGGTGGGTTTTTAATTGGGATTTGAATATGGTGATTGTGTCTGACTGTCAGATGTGCGGGGGGAGGGAGTTCCAGAGTCTGGGAGCAGTGCAGCTAAAAGCCCGAGCACCCATGGTGACGAGGCGTGGGGTGAGGACGGTCAGCAGACCAGCAGACCAGCAGAGGAGGAGCGGAGGGAGCGAGAGGGGGTGTGCTCCTGAAGAAGGTCAGCCAGATAGGGGGGGGGGGGGGGGGGCAGGTTATGTAGGGCTTTGTAAGTGAACAGTAGGTTTTTGAAGTTGATACGGGATTTGAATGGGGAGCCAGTGGAGTTGGATGAGGATGGGGGTGATGTGTTCTGAGGCCTTGGTGCTGGTGATGATCCGGGCTGCAGAGTTCTGTATGATTTGAAGTTTATTGATGAGTTTGGTGGGAATGCCTGAGAGGATGGCGTTACAGTAGTCGATGCGGGACGTGACAAATGCATTGACCAGGACTTCAGTGTTTGATTGAGAAAGGGATGGGCGGAGTCTGGAGATGTTGCATTTTAACCTCAGCTGTCTCTTTGCTGGCTTTTCATGAGAACATCTTTCTTATCTGAAGCTATTACAGCAACTCAGCTTTCATCAGTAGACCGTTTAACACTTGGGTTATTCAAATCAGTCCGTAAAATGATTTAAAATGGTTGGATTCGATTTTTTTAGTAGCCTATAAAGTATATTTATTCCATGTTCACCACCAAAGAGGACATATTATGCTTAATTAAGGCTCCTACTTGTATTTCTGGTTTCTACTAGCAACACATAATTGTTCTCATACTGAATCTCATGTTTTCTGATAAAGGCATCAAAAAATAAACAGAATAGTTACTCTTTTTTTTTTTTTTTTGGGTTGGTACTGTATGCACTCCAGATATGCAGATGTTTATGAAGCACTCAACAATAGAGTCATCATAATTTGTCCCCTTTAAACATATAGCATGGTTGTTAAAGGGTTTAACTACAACTGTATACGCTGTGTGAAGGACATTTCAGCATTATAAAATATGATAATGTTACTTAATAATTAATTAAAAAAACATCAGAGCTTTCTGTTGCTTCCTTATTTTAAGGAAAGATTGAGTCAGTTACACGTTTATTATTTACACCCTGTATGACGTGATTTCCTCACAAGCAGTTTTTACTCTTATTCGTTTAGTCTTAAGAAAATGTGCCCAATAATTGAGTTATTTTAATGTTTTTTTAAGTACTGTTTGTAATGTAGTAAAGCAGAGTTAATATTGCTCTGGTTTGGTAATGTTAAACTGTGTACGTGAATCATAAAAGACAAACATTTCATTGGTTAACTGTGTTTTTAACTTCAGTTAAAAATTCACAAAAAGAATACTTACTCTCTCCCTCAGTTTCCTCTCTTTCCTCTCCTGCACGGTGGACAGGTAGTTGACCGCCGCGTACTCTATCACCGACAGGAACACAAAGACAAAACTGACCCAGAGGTAAATGTCCACCGCCTTGATGTAGGAGACGCGGGGCATGGAGGCGTTGACCCCGGTGATGATGGTGGACATGGTTAGCACTGTGGTGATGCCTGGAGTAAAACACACAAACACATCAAAGCGCTGATTTACACTGGGCTGGGAAGCTGAAAAAGAATGATAAATACCATAGAAAGGGCTACATTATATAACCGTTTTTCCATATTGCCCTGCCTTCTGATCTAGTATTTTAACTATCAGTGTCGAAACGCTCTGTAAAGCTCTCTGCAGAGAAAAAACTGAGCATAAATCAGGAGGGTTGGTTGTGAGTTGCTGCTCTTAACCAAATCCCCACTCATTTCCCACTGACACAGTGCTAGGGTCCATTTTTCCAAAGCTTGATTTTCACGATGTATTCCCGATAGTTGAGACACATGTCATGCTTCCATCCAACCCTTAAAAACTTTTCTGGCCCAACATTAATTTGCAACTGGCAGAACTACTTTGACACTATTTCAAAAATACTTCCAACCATTTTAAATGTCTCCTTGTATTCCCTTATTTGGTCTCTAAGAAATGCCTTTCACTTCCTTCCTGGTGGCATCCTCTCACTGGGAGTCTTCTAAAGCTCCCTCCAGTGCTCGATGGTATCTTGTCCTTTCTGAAGCTAGACAAGATTCATAAATATTCAGGGTGGGCTAATTCTGATAAGTTCTTTAATAAGAGCCTTAAAAAAACAACTCTCTTAAATCTCGTCTTCTTTTGGGGGTTTGTCTCTCAAATGCTATGTTTTTGGAGTTTAAACGTTATGCTTTAATTATGTTATTATGTTTGTATTGTGTTATTTAACTGTCAATGTTAAGTCACGTTGATTAGCTCTTAACCATATTTCTTAATAAAAATGATTATGCCCAAAATGTGTTTCACTATTCTCCCCTATGTAAATCCTATCCTACTTTCACACTGTTGCCCATAAAGTTGGAATAAAATATTTGCTACCTCTTCTGATGAAACGATTAATTTGTGACAATGTGATTTACTCTTGATAGATAAAGTGTATATCTTCTCAAAAGGTGATTGATCAATCTCTTCCAAACATGTCACAGTGAAAATTAAATCACAGTGGGCAACAGTGTATATTGTGTAAACTGTAACTTGGCCCTTCAATAGCGTTTTATTTGTGAGATAGTTTACAGATGTTTTATCTTCACGGTCAACTTGTATATATTTTACTTTTTTAGTTGCGTTTTATTTTCTATTTTGAGATGTTTCTATTTTATAATTGTTTATTTTCGACTCTTTTTCATTTCTAATTATGTGAAATGCCTTGCTGCTATAACGGAAAAAAAATCGAAAAAGTACATCTTATCTTATCCAGCTACCCCATTTTTTTGCTGGGAATAAGCCACTTCTCCACACTTAATATTCTCTTTGAGCTAAGTTTTTCTGCTGATACGTCGCCCTGTGAGAGGAGCTCCTTCCTACCGAGCGGCACCCTGGCGGGGACGGCCCTGCGGTCGATCCAGAAAGACACCCAGGACAACATGACCATCAGAGTGGCCGGGAAGTAGGTCTGCAGCAGGAAGAAGAAGATGTGGCGCCGCAGGGTGAAGTGGATGTACAAGCGATTGTACCAGCCTGGGAAGAAGAAATAATAACATTGTGGTATTTGATCTGCCGTTACACAGCACAAATACTCAAAGCGGCGGTTTCAAGCTGTTGCAGGGAGGGATAGAAGCTAGAGAGTGACATGTGGTTTTAAGGAAGCTGCAGGGCTTTCACAGCAGCACTACAATGTTTGACAGGAGTTTGATTTATTTTGTTTGGCAAGGATTACATTTCAGCGTATACTTCCTGGTGTGTCATTCAAAATACATGTCAGGAAGACTTGATCCTTTAGTTGGAAAAGGCTTTAAAAGTCAAATAGGACTCATTGTAAGTTTCAATTGTGATTTCGTTTTTCATGCACAAAGCAGACATTTGCATAATCAGTTGGGTATACTGTATGTCTTAGAAGTGCTTGTTGTGGATACCTGTGCTGCTGTAGAAAGCCAGCTTAGTGGTGGTGTGAAATTTCTGGATGAGGAACTGGGACAGAGATATTCTTTCGTCCGTGTTCAGGGATTCGTTGCCCTTCTTCCAGTACAACATCAGGTCGTCATCTGTGTACGCATCTGGAGGGGAGAAGAAGGAGAAGTGAGTACATCTGTGACAAACCAAATCAGGACAGATTTAGTTTCACATTTGCTCGGTTTTAATGTGAACAAAATGTGCGAAGATTTAAAAAGAGTTTTCACAATTCTAAAGCACCTCTAGCAGTCCCTAGAGACTTCAATGTTCATCGCACCGTGTGATTCTGACAGTTTTAGAGCCTTATTAGCAGAGGAGCTGAGAGGGTGATGCTAGAGGCGAGGTTTTGGCATCACATATAATCATATATCACAGATTTCACGAGATATCTGGTGAGCAAACTTGACATTTTGGCCTGAGGAGAGTGCAAAAGCAACATTTTGCAAGGAAATTGTAAAAGAGGTGGCAATGTCCTCAGTAAATATAGCCATTTCTTGAATATCAGGGAGATGTTTGTCATATTAATGGCACTACAAAAAGGTCAGTGAGATAGTTATCTGGAAAACATAAACATGGGAGAACACATTACGTTCTTCCGATACTTTGTCGTGTAGGAAACTTTGATACCTGATCATTTAATTGACATATTGCTGTCTTTCTAAAATATTGCTCGATCTATTTTTATAAATGTACTCACAGCTCTCGATCTCCAGCGAGCAGGTCTGGGTGTCCAGAGGGAAGCGGCTGAGGTCCATGTTGCACATGGCAGTGACAGTGACTCTGCAGGAAGACCAGCAGAGAACCAAAGAAAATGAGTACCAGCAAGGATGACGGGTAAAATGACTACTGTGTGTACATAGGCTGTGTTTTTAGCTGACTGAAACCAAGAAAATAAGGATATGTGTTTTTATAAACGTTTCTTTTTTTAACTATGTATTCTCTTCCTGTATTATAAGTCTCTTTTCCCCTCTTCCCTTCCTCTTCCACCATTTTCCCATCAAGGGGCCTACTTCAAGGGCGCCGGAAGCGAGGGGGCCATTGGCCCCCCCACTTTACGGCCCTGCCCCACATTTTCGCAGCAGCGGATGCCGCGGAACACTGTACACATCCCGTTTCAATAATTCCCCTCTACTCTAAAGTCGCATCTAAAAAGAACGCCATCTGATCTAGCTGTGTATATTTTGTTATTTTTGTTATATTCAATCTCATTAGCTACAGGCATTTTTGAAGCTTGTAAAGGGAAGAACACAGCTCGCCTCTCACTCGCCACTCTGCTCTTCCACAGCGCCGCTTCCCTTCCCTCCGCTGACATTATGAATGTAAGGCATAGTAATCATAGATAACACCGCAGGGTCCGTTACAGTTTGTTTTCATCTGATTTCAAATAAACAAAGTCTTGGCTTTCAGAATATTAAACTTGTTTCGGCAAATTCAGATGATAAATACAGCTTTGAAGCTTTTAACGGCATAATTACAAGCAGAGAACGGAGTAACTTAACGTCACTGCAAGCATAACAACAGCCGGTGTTTCTCGTGAGGGTTTTCCCCTGGAAACAAACGCAAAAATACACAAACACACACACGTATACACACACACACTCGCGAGCTCCCCCCAGACCAGTAATCCAAACGAAAATATCTTCCCTCCGTACTACTTTGATCATTTGCTCCGCTAATAATCAATCAGATCGATCCAGAGAAGAGGAAACTTTAAAGGCCTTTTTCTCAAAATGATGACTCGGTGACAGTCATTATATAATGTGACATATGTTGCTTAATATAGTACAAAAACAATCCTGATATCATTAGAAAGCTAGGAATCTCCTCTTTCCAACAGTGTATACAACTCAAAATGTGTCTTCGGATCAATGCGACTGATTTCGATGGAGCAGGTCACTTTGCATTGGGTAAAATACAGCAGGCAGACATAACAGGAAGAATATGTACATTTTAATCCAATCAAATAGGACATTGTCACACCATTCAAATGTATCCATGTAGGCCTACATTACAACCAATAACAAAGCTTAGATGTGTTTATTTGTTACGTTGTTTACGTTATGTGTTACGTTGTTCAGTGTGTGTCAGCCGTTAACCTAGATAGATAAACTTGCAAACATGTCAGAAGAACCGGCGCATAAGAAAACAAAATACAGTCAAACTAAGCTGAAATTCAACAACTTGAATGTCACATCCCTGACATCCACAACTCCGGAGCCTGGTCCTTTAACCATAGAACCAGCGCAGCCAGATGAACCCCAGCAGCAGCTCTGCGGCCGCAGAGGCTGTCAAAACCGCCGCCGCCGGCATCGTTGAACCGAAACAGGCTGGTTCCGACTGCATGGAGGTTTGTTGTCGGGACATTGTGACGGGCAAATAAAAGCTTATTTGGGCAAAGAGAAGGTACTTCAATGCAGAATGGTACAAAAACAGAGAGTGGTTCATTCTTTGCAAAACCACTAAACGAGCCTTCTGTGAAATATGCAGATGTGCTGCTGTCAAACGGCTTGTAACTTTCTCCAAATGTGGAGATGACAGCTTTTTAAATACCGAGTTAATAACTGGAACTTTTCACAGAGCTTACTTCAGTCAAACACCAGTCAACATTCAGCTTGTCAAACAAGAGCGTAGCAGGAAAAAAGAAGAGATGGAATGAGCAACTGCGCTGTCATATGTGTGGGCTGGTCTGTATAGTTTAATTTACAGGAAAGGAGTGAGCAGAGGGTTGAGTTGTCCATTCTTGTTCTGTTTTCTCTGACTATCTTCCTCCTGAAGACCCTCTCAGACTTTCATTTGCTCGCGCTACTAAAGAGACACGTTACCATGGAAACTAAACAATGGTGTAGCTGTATTGAAGTCCGTGTGGAAACAGTAGCCTAACATTTGGTGCGTTATGTTAGAATGAAACAAATCAGATTTAGTCAGAAATCGGGAGAATGCGGGATAAATATGACCCCGGGAGGAAAACGGCAGTCTCCCGCGAAAATCGGGAGGGTTGGCAAGTATGTCACATACACACGCACTTTTTGCCCCCCCCCCCACTTCTGAAATGAATCCGGCGCCGCTGGCCTACTTCACTACTATCTCTGTAAATATTAAACCAATTGATATTTAAAAAGTCCCTGCAATCAGCTGACAAATGTCACACAGCATTTGGCATTTTCCTCTGGTAACATCAAAATGACTCATACATTTTATTCCACAAGATGCTTCCCCTGCTGTGAAACTATCTGAAAGGAATCAGAGGTGACCTTTAAAAGTTAAAATGACTATGCGATCTTCTCATTTGCCAATTTTGGTAATAATTGCAGTATGTTGGCATTGCTTTTTTTTAATTTATTTTTTAAAGCTTTTTTATTGGGATGTTTTTTTGTTTAGACTACAGAGAAATACGCTTTTCTCTTTGGCCTTTTATTGTTAAAAAAACTGGTATCAAAGTCATTATCTCAAATGTCATGTTTTAAATATACAGACCTTTCCTACTGAATAATATCTTTCTGTAGGATATATTTGATATATTGTTTATTTTAGGTTCAGTTGGCTCCTCGGCTATAGGTTCATGCACCCTAGATATGTTTACCTGAGACTGTAGAGGACGTTTCCGTCGGGGTAAACCCTCAGCATGACGTTATCGGTCGTGGTGTCGTGGATGAAAGATCGCTTGGAGTGGACGAAGAACATGTCGGGGACCCAGATCTTCTTCACCAGGCGGCTGTCGAAGGTCATGCTCTGGTTGTTGGTGCTCGGGAAGGACAGCCGCTCGTCCTTCCAGTAGTGACGCAGGTACAGAGTCATGGTGAAGTCCTACAGGAAGCAAGAAGCTGGTTCTCAAATGCTTTCATTAATTAGGCTACAAGAACCAATACAATAAAAATACTTCATGGCAAGTAAAGGTCCTGCATTCAAAATCTTAATTAAATAAAAATACAGTATTATCAGCTAATGTCAATAAATAAGGTAACGGTTGCAAGGAGGAGATAGTTTATCAACTTTTTATAAGCTCGGGTTGTTAAGAGTCCAAACCTAGGGGTCATACCTCTCTAAAGGGTCTCAATATGAAAAGGTCGGATTGCGAGATGATTAACGGAAAGGAAATGAAATGCAATTTTTTTTTGTCTTTCCTCTTAAATGTGTACTTTTCCTTCAATATTAGATCATATGAAACCATATGAAACCTTTGGTGTGATTGCTACAGTAACTAACTCTCTCCTGTGCTATCTAACATCAGCTGTATACCCCCAGGCCCTTTATTACTCACCATATCGACCTCAGAGATTGTGTCCAGACTTTCAACCTGAACATCCACTCCAACTGGAATTGGAGGACCTGAAATAAAAGGACTCATGTCAGGATTGCATAACACGTGTTATTTCTCTGCATAGACGCTTGTTGAGCGTTTAATGGCTGTGACAGTGTGTTAAACATATAAGGCAACTAAAACAGAGCTTGTTTAAATATTTGCTCCCAAAACAAACAAACAACAGAAACAATGTAGAGCATCTGCTTGCACCACATCTGTGTCAGCCTAGCTGGGATTTTACTTTTGACCCTGTATAGCCTTAGTACTCTACATCCTCATCCACCAAAACAAGGGATCAAAGTAGATGTCGCAGTTGATAAAATCCAGCTCTCCTTTTAACTTGCAGCTGAGCAAAAAAGATCCTGCGAGAGGTCACTTGGAAAGTTATCAGCGGCAGATTGTGGTGTAATTAAAAGTAGGAGTGGTCTGATAAAAACAGCACATGTTTCTCTTTTCCAAGCCAATGACGAATAAAAAGATAACGATGGCTAAAAGGATTATAAATATAAATGTCATTACCATATTCTAGTAAAAACAAAAGCCTGTGAGCTTTACTTACATTAAAACACTGTTATATACACTAATGATGCAAAAGACGTGGATTAACCATGTGATGTACAGAAGTGACCTGCAGTTGAATGTCAGGGGCAGCTTGCATGGTGTCATTAAGATCTCCAGGAGCTTATGGGATTGTTACTGCACGGATCTCATCCAGCTTAACATGCAGCCTCTACACTGTGCACACATTATGTCTGAGCTATACAAATACAACCCTTTTATTTAAAAGCTTTTCAATTGGAATTAACATTTCATTTCCTTTCTGACCTCCAAAGGCTGGCCTCATGGTGAAATCGTGGTCGTCTATTCTCAGGAGCTGCTCGGATTTTGTCATCAGAGTTTTTGTCATGTCTGCACTCCGTTTGTAAATGGGACTGTGAAAAAGAAGGTAACACATGTCATTGAGCTTTAGGGATATATTGTGTGGTGCTTATATGTCCAAATGGAAAATCCAAAGAATAAATTGGACTGTGGTAATTTTTTCATCAGAGGTTTAGAAAACTCACTTTCCGGTTTTTTGACTGTCCATCCTGGTCTCTCTTCGCGACCTAATGCGTTAACAACAACATAAATGATAAACATCTGTAACATATGGCAGCAGCAAAACATTAGAACAAGTTGGAGTTGTTGATATATTTTATTTAAATCCAGTTGTACCTTTATTTTACAAGGTTTTTCATTTGCAGTTGTAATAGGTAAGAAGCTCAGCCGCATTAGTCAACACACATAAATTCATTGTTTCAGAGTAGGGTACAATGATGTATACATTTGTTGTTGGTTTTGAATCTTTACTCCAGTCCACCTTTTCTCATCACATCTGGTAAAGAGTAAGCCAGCTCTTCTACTGTTCAAGAGGCTGCCTGTATGTGTATGCGTTATTGTGTTTTAGTCAGGCAGAGAGAGAAGGAGCAAAAAACATTTCCAAAAACACTAAAATTGATTATTAGAGTAGAGCAAGCTGTGACAGAGAGGGACAAATCCCTATGACAACCACAGACGTGCATAAAGGAAAAACCATAGAAAGAGAGAAAGAGGAGGGAGAGATGAAGGGACAACGAGAAAAACAGACAAACCAAACCAAGGAAGAGGGGGTTTCTGGCTAGCCGCAGAGCTCAGTGGGCAGTGGGTGCTCCTCGTATGCGTCCAGCAGCTGGTTTCTAATCCTCTTGGCATAAAGGCCGCCCCCCCCCCTCTGCCTGCCCACACAGCGGGCTGCCGTCTGCACACGGTTCCTGCTCTGCAGCAAGAGACCTGCATGCATGCACCGCTGCATCTGGGTCAATGGGCCACATTCCTGCAGAGGTCATCTTGGACACATGCATGTATACAAAGAGTAGAAACTGCAGAAAACCTTAAGTTGACCAAAAGGAAATGCATGTTTAAACCCTAACAGGGTAGAAACAGGAGGTATTGATTATTTAATTGAATATGTGAATACGTCTAAAAGGAGATCCACAACTACACTGTAGATCAAGGGAATTGGGTAACATTTGGAAAAGCCTGTTTTTGTATTTTTTGATAAATATGTAGCTAGCAAGTTACAGCTTTGAAATGTAGATGAGTTTATTGCTATGCTCTACATCAGAGTCGCTCAAAGTGCTGCCCGGAGGCTAACAGCAAGACATTTTGTGACCCCTGAACGTGACACGCATAACATTTGAATAATCCGCGGTCCATTCCCGTTCTGCAATACTGTGCCCAATACAGACATATTTCAGGTTGGAAAGGACAACTTCTAGAAAGCAAATGGTTACATGGCACGTCAGGAGCAATTCATTTTAGTGGGAAAGTCAGTAGTGGAGGTGAGAAGGAGAAAAAAGCAGAAAATAAGGTTTCAGGAAAAATGCATCTTTAACGATTGCAACATCCTTGGGCAGTTTTATGGGTGAGAAGCACACATGTAAGCTTGCACAGTTTCTTCAGGTGTTTCTGTGTGACAGTCAGTGCTCACACTGACTGTCACACAAGCTGAAACAGTTTTGTGGTGTCTCACCAAATTGCTATGCGTAAAGAGTCGTGCCTTTGTTAAGGACTGCTGGGTGAAAGTGGCTGTGTGTCTTGATAGGCTGGCTCTCTGAATTGGCACTTTGACAACCCATGTTTACTTGGAGGTGTGTAAAATACAAAACTAAGAATGAAAATGGAAAATAGGAGCATGAGTCATTTTTTTTTAAAGTCATCCAACGACCGTTCTAATGTATCTTTAAAACTCATGAGCATTTTCTCTTCAGATATTTGATGTGTGGGACTCTGCTGTCCTACACTTATCCCTCTCTCTGGTTCCTCTTCAAGGCTGCGAGTGAAAAGAAAATGTAAGTAATGTGGGGAAAACTCCCACAACGCACGCCAGCAGCATCAAAGCCGCTTTCTCAATTTCACACTCCAAGAGAGGAGGAGTGCAGCGATGAAAAACAAGGAGAAGAAAGGTTCCTCTTCTTCTGCATATGAGATGTTCCCTCCCATGCTGAAAGAGGAATGACAGATTTACATTTGATCTGTATTCACCGACTGTGTGTCAGCAGAGAGAAGTCATGATGTGAGAGGACTTTTAACTAGGGGGAAAAACAAGGCAAAACTGGTGTTTAGAGATTGCAACTTTGAGCCGCTCTCCGTCTTTTGAAGATTTTCCACAGATGATTACGATGTGCTCCTCAATGCTCATCTTAATCACATCAGGGCTGAGATAAACACTTTAAATGACACTTTGGAGGAGTGTTTAGATTTAAAGAGAGCTGTTAAATAACATATTCAGTATTATGTGCTCTGACCGTTTTTGATTCTAAAAGAACCAGCAGGTGTCAAACCGCTTTATTTCTCTAAATGGATGAGACTCCTAATAGCAGACTGCCGTTAGACGTCGCCTGTGATCTATAAATAACAACAGTTACAGCATTAAAAATGATACTGTATCTGAAGGCAGAGGGATTAATGATTCGACAGGGTTTGATGAATATATTAAGTGGATGCAAATCATTCAACGCTGATAGCATTACTGCTGTAATTCGCCTGCTTGGGAAAATCTTCACCAGAGATTAATGCAGGGACAGTTTCTCACTGGAGGACCTCAGGATATAGTTGAGCTGATTTTTCAGAGAGAACATTTGAATTTGTAGACGTAGATGCTGGAAAAGAGTCCAATCATTCTGTTTTATGGGGATTTGTGGATGCAACATGTTTACTTTTTTCCTTATTTTGTATGTATGTTTGTCCTTTGTGACAGTGCACTGACTGTTGATGAGATAAACGAGACATCAACTTGGACATTTCATCAACCAAACTAAAATGTGATTCCTAAATAATGAAAATGACCTTAAATGTGTGAGTTATGTCTCTGCTCACAGCACTCGACAGGTGTTCAAAGCCTTCTGAGGATGAAGTTAAAATGCCTTGTGGCGTTTTTGCTGTGCGTGCAAACAGTTATCTTTTTAAAGACCTTGCAGATGTTTGATTATGCTTCGAAATGTTCTGCACATGTAACTGACTCGCTGAAATAATGATCTAATTTGCATTTCTAATGAACATCAAAGACTCTGATGCTTATTGTTTTGTTTTGTAGTCTAAAATCACATTTTCTTCACTGAGTAAGGAAGCATCCGTACATGTTGTTCCCTTCAACCAGCAGCTGTGAGAGTGGAGCTATTTTCAAATTCAATAAATCAAGGTCGAATAAATATTTCGGGTCCTTCTTAAGAAAAATTACGAATTCAGTTCTTACTTCTTAAATGTGGACATGCGCGGTTTCTGGTCTTTTTTGATAGTGAACTGAATATATTTGGGTTTTTGATTTAACAAGACGTTCACTTTGGGAACATGTGAAGGGCATATTTTTGTTTGTATATGATTGTTTAAAAAAATGTTCAACCAATTAATCAAATTTGAAAAGTAATTGTTTCTTGCGAACCTACTTTGTAAACGGCAGTATTGAATATTATAATCATTCAAAATTCTAATATTAATGCCAATTTTGATATGTATTAAGCATTTAGCTTTCTAAATACCAATTTACACAAACAAATACATCTGTCCATCATTATCTTGATGTTTGATTATGTGCCCAAAATGTTGTATTACAAATCTTTATATCAGCATCAAATGATAAAAATGTCTAATGTGGGTCACAAAGACTCAGATGCCACAAGTTTGTTTTTTTTGGTGTAAATTTGACTTTTCTTCCATCACAGGTATGTCCGACTGCCCGTCACATACTGCTCCCTGCACTTAACAGCAGATAAAACGTTCAAAAAACACACAATATCAACCTTTCTACATGAATCCGTCAAATGTTAAAACCATTTCAATCAATAATATGGAGAAGTAAGGGTGCTCGAACGGCCCCCTGGTCTAGTTTGGTGTCCAACTAAAACATCTGATCCATGGGATGCATTAAGACGGGAACAATTAGCCTACATAACAACCTGGATGTGACATTGGCTACAACTGCTGCCAGTGGGGATATGAACTGGCCTGCAGCAGTTGTGGGGCAAAAGAACATAGCACTCAGTAGCAGGGCATAAATAGATGTGGGGATTTAGGTCTCCCTCTCTCCCCCTCTCTCTCCTCTCCAATCTGCTGTCTGAATAAGTATGTTTTCTGAGGGGGAGGGAGCAACACAGGTGACACGGGAAACTCGGGACAACATGGTGTAAACATATAAAAGCACCTAAAAGAACATAATAAAGCCCTCGCAGGAAAAATAAATAACCAACACTTGCAGGAAAAGCCTATTTCAAACACTCATACATGCTGTTGAGAGAATAAAAACATGCGTTCCAGTGTTTGTCTTGGTGCATCCTTTGACATTACCTGCTCTGTGTGTAGGTCTCCAGCTTGTGACCCCTCGACTGGGTCATCCTCCCAGAGGCACCACCGGCGAGCCAAACACAGAAGAGCACAAGAACAGCATCCACCTGCATGGTTCACATTCCCCAGAGGACTCACCTCTCCTGTCAGTCAGAATATTTTCCCCTCAAGGGTTCGGAGCACTCTGCCTTGCTGAGACATTCCCTTCTCCAGCGCCGGAGCTGATAAGAGGGAGAAGAGGGAGGAACAGCAGCAGCAACAGCAGCAGCAGCAGCTACGCTCAGCTATTCTACGGCCTGAGTGGAAAACATCCTACGGTGCTTAATCTCCACAGTGGGAAAAGCAATTTTGACTAAACCCATAAATCCTTGAGCGTCAGATGGTACATATTTGATCCCTCCAGCAGCGGATGTGCCTGCCTCTCTGTGCTCTGCTATGCTCAGATATCCTGCACTCTGATGTGCTCTACTCCACTTTGCACCGCCCAGAAACACCAATTCTCACAATGATGCGGCGCGCTCATTTGTAAGGTCACCGGTTTAGAGATGCAGAGAGGGAGCTCTGTGTGTGTGATGTGAAAGGCTCCTCAGCTCCTTTTGATGCAGGAGTCTCATGTCTGGCATTTCAACAATCTCTGCCAAAAAGGGAACATATATGCATATCTGTTTGTTGTTGTTTGCAGGAATACAGTTGGAGGGCTTTTATGATACGAGTTGTTTTCCTGCTGTCTGTTCCCGTTTTCTCTCAGGGGACTCACACTTGGGAATATTTTTAGATGCTCCAAATAATAATAACACAGGTGGATGTGTTGACGATTCCAGGAGAAATAAGGCCAACAAAGTTTTATAGACTATTGACCTAGAAATCGACATAGTTAATCGAATATGCAAAATATAATATTTAGCCAACATAACGGACTTTCTTAAGTATTTTTCAACAATGATTTGGTCCACAGTTTTGTCAGATAATGCAAAAAAATAAATAATACATTAATTCTGATCGCACACCTGTCAATTTTTTTTGAAAATCAGAAATAATTTATGTGATATTTACAAAACTCACTTTCTTAATATTTGAAGTATTTTTCAACAATAATGTTCCACAGTTTTGTCAGTTAATGCATAAAATACACAGTCAGTCTGATCATCACACACAAAATAGGTGATTATAGTGATTTTTCATTTTAGCAACACATTTGAGGCTGCACTACTTTTTGTCTGTCAAGGCGCGCTGTCCGTCTGAATAAGCCAATCAAAGATCATCACAGCCCAGACGTCACCAGCCATTTGCCAACCCTCTTTTTTTGTTTCAGCAGACTGAACAGTTGGATTATAAAACCATGAATTTGGGTTAGATCCATGGACGTCAATCTGAAAATTGGTGTAAGTAATGTTAGGGATTGTTTGTGTTTCAGATTTGTGCATCGTTCTGTACACTAGTCCTGCTGACCTGGCAGCAAATAAAACAGCTACCAAACTATCTATGATTTAAACAATGATCTTTTAGTTTTTGTACTGGAATTACAGTGAGCTTAGTGGTGTTCCAATGAGTTAGATATAAATAAGAGTCATGCTAGAGGCAAGTGAAATGAAGAGAAATAATTTAAATTACACTTCTTGTGAATATCTTATTAGTATAACATACAACATCATTTTGACAAACAACCTCATAATAAACGCATTACATCTAACTTACTACATAATATGAGCATGTGTTTGATTAACTAAATCCAAGTTATAAGGATCGACTGATATCTGACTTTTAAAGGGTAAATCTACACTTGATTGTAGAAGCCTCACTGGCCTTTTTGGAATTATTGGTATACATCCCTTGGAGAGGGGTGGGCTTTTTGTCTTTCTGACCACAATCTGTGTTGATGTAGTAACACACTACACAGGGGGAGAGGGAGAGCAAGCTGTCACCGCTAGTTGGCAGCGTTAACCAGATTAGCAGAAGTCTGCAGAGTCTTTGGCCTAAAACAATCTAACAACGACATATCGGCCCATATATATATTTTTAACATAAACAACCAATACTTTGACATCAGCAGTTAATAATACTAGTTGCAAAAATAATATTCACCAAATAATAAGTAATAGTTCAGCAGAAGACACAGCGTGCAGCTGCAGTGTTTCATATATATATACTTTCTTATTAGCAAGTGTGCATGACATTTGATAGAAGCAGTGGTGTGTGAATCTATACATCATCTTTTTTAATATTGATCCCTTAAATTAGTCCAGCTGTAGTGACTTTACACTAAGACGGACATTTTAAGAAATTAACTTGTCTTTGCTTTGCTGTTTCTGCTTAGAAAATATGTGCTGTATATTTATAAATGTATAAATCTTACATACAGATTTATAGACGTATAAACACGTGTTAAACTAAAATATGGCAATAATATTGGCTCTTATTTAATTGATTTGTGACATAAGATACTACGTTATCTGTATACTTATCCTATTATTTTTAATATAAGGTAGTTAATGCTATGTTCAATTATTTAAAACGTTTTCTTTGTATTACCCTGGCAGGATTTGGGTACCTACTTTTCCCTATTACCTTTACATTTTTTTCAAAAAAACAACGGAAACCAACACAAGTAAAAATATTCCTCAACATGTCAATGTCACATGACTCTTACCCATAGATGTTTTTCTGCTCCTGTAAAGTGCTCTTACCTTTTCTACCTTGTTGACCTGACTTGACTTGGCCCACATACTGTAGTGGAGATGCATCCATCACCAACAAAAAATGCGTTGTTTTTCAGTTTCTGCATCTGTTATTACATTCAAAAGACAAACACAAGATGTTAAATAGTTGTACTATAGCATGTGTGTATGATTTGGGTGCATAAACAATCGCTAGCAGTACAAAAGTAGCAAACCTGCACAAGGTTTCTCTTAAACCACCCTGTCAGTTTGTAGAACATCGTCACCCTCTGGTCAGCCAATGCACGGTGGTGATTTTACTTTTTGCCCTGAGTATCGTCTTTCAGACAGGAGGCAGGCACACTGTTCTCATGCTATAAATCGTCTAAGGAAACGTCAACAAATTGCATCCATTGGGTTTAAATCTTCGATTTCAGAAAATGATCAGGGTTGAGGGCAGGGCGGGACACACGATTTTTGAATCCCAGTGAGTGAGACGGGATTTGTGCCTGAAAGGCTTGAATCAGGGTAAATTTACTTTACTGGATGCAGTGAGGTGATTGGCTGGCGCAGTACTGGCGGGGCAATGTAAAGAAGTTACTGAAAACTAGAGCAGAATATGTTTACTGAAATGACTGCTTTGTACCACTAATTGGCGATATATTAAACAGGATCGGATACGTAAATGACGACGAGGACATTAGTAGACAAGCACAGAGGCGTATTGGTGAACATCAAGTTATAAAGTGGTTTGTTTAGTTTATTTATAGTCTGGCAGATGTGTTTAGCGCTAAGCTAAAGTGAAGCGCGCTGTGTTGTCATTTACTTACAGCTGTATTTGAGCTAACTTAGCTTCTACCTCAGGGCTGGATCAAGATGAGCTCTTTGCGGGAGATAAAACGTAAGGATCTATTCATTCATACGCTGTTTGTACGTTGAAATGAGTGTGTTAACTAAGTTTGTTATGATTGTTTACAATGTTGATATGTGCGATCCCAATGCAGAGCTGCAGAAAGCCAAAAGCAAAGTGCAAAACAGCAACAACATTAGAGAGGAAGCAAACATCTGCAATCAGCTGGGAGAACTGCTGTCCAGAAATGGTAAGTGGTTCATACTATTAACAATATTGAATAGACTGCTTGTAAAAGGATTGTGTGCAGATTGCTTTTATCATATGACATAAGGAAATAACATAGACGTATAGAAGACAACAGATCAGAGGTTTTCCAATAGAATTGATAGCAGTGTACTGTATAAATGGTAAATGCACTTAATGTACATGGTATAGAATGCAGATTATACAGAATTACTCATACTTGTACACTTTGAAACGTAAAAATATATGGAGCCACCATCTCTGCATTCATTAGAAGCAACGTTTTATTTTCTGTGACTGCCTTATCATTGATTACACCCCTTTTTAATGTAACATTGATTAATCAATCAAATTGTCCTTCAAAAAAAGGACTCCCGCTCTCTTCCTTAATAGTCCTTGTTCCTGCAAGACTACAGATCTTTTTGTCTCTTTGCAATTATCACAAAAAAGTCTTTTGATTTCTAATAATGTTTCTTGATAACTGTCTCATATTTTAAATTCACTTATCTATTCTTCTTCCTATTTTTTGTATATCTCAGGTGATTATGAGGCTGCTATTAGCGAGCACCAGCAGGAGTTATCCCTCTCTGAGGTGGTGAACGATGTGATTGGACGAGCTGTGGCCAATCGCAAGATAGGAGAGTGCTACGCTGAGATGGGAAACATTGAGGCTGCTTTGAAAGTGAGTAAAGTGATCTGCTTTGTTCAAAATGACTGATAAAATACTTCTGTGGCCATTAAAACCCATTGAAACCCTTTTATTCAGTACCAAAATGATCCAAATGTAGCAGACATAATTCAGACTCATATTAAAACTATTCAGGGTTAGTAAAACATGTAAAGGAGATGTATGTATATTCTTCTTCAGCACCAGCGATGTCACCTGGACCTGGCTCGCTCTGTCAGAGATCATGCTGAGGAGCAGAGGGCGCTGGCCACTATTGGTCGAACCTACCTCTTCCGTTATGAATCGGACCAATCGAGGGGCAGTTTGGAGCAGGCAGAGGAGGCTTTCAGGAAGAGCCTGTCCATTGTGGACGACCGTCTAGAAGGTAGGCACCGTTTGTATCCTCACTGTATTCATGCAGCATTTTATTAATTAATATCGTTTTTATTTTGTTTGTTTGTTCTTACATTTTCCTTATTTCTTACCTCCAGGGACTGTGCCACAGCGAGAGATTAGTGAGATGAAGGCACGTCTCTTCCTCAATCTTGGACTGGTCTGTGATCATCTAGGGGAGCCCAAACGTTGCAGCGAGTTTATCCGACGAAGTGTCTTCATTGCAGAGTAAGAACACAGAGTAGGCAAATGTGCGTTGTATATCAAATATTATCATAAAATGTTGGTCATGTTGCTATCTCCCTTTTCGTCCTGTACAGGAAGAGTCAGCTGCTGGAGGATCTCTACCGTGCCAACTTCAACCTGGGCAACATTTACTTCCGTCACGGTCAACACTCTAATTCTGTGCGCTGCCTTGAACAGGCCAAAGAGTGCGCCAGGAAGATCAAGGACAAGTTTAGTGAGAGCGAGTGCTTTAACTGCATCGGCAAGGTACAGACTTATTCTTGAGAATAGTAAAATGTAATTTACTTTGTTGCTGTGCATATTGTATTGAGTGCCTCTCCATGACATGAATCCACAGGTGCAGCTGTCTCTGGGTGATTTTGTAGCAGCTCGACGATCTCTGAAGAAAGCTCTCCTTCTGGGTTCTCAGCAGCCACTGGACAGGCTGGCGGTGAAGAAAGCGTTCAAATATGGTAATGGTGCTACTTTATTTAATCAACATGGCTTATTTTTTTTTAACTTAAGTTGAAATGATCTCTGAGTTGATGGTGTAATTTGTTCCCAATTTCTAGCGGACCAGGGCTGTAAACTGGAGGAAGAGTTGGGGGAGGATCAGGGCAACAAACTCAGCTCCCATCAGGCCGTGGGGCTGGCAGAGCAGCTGGGGGACCTTTACTGCAAGGTTGGCTGCTACAGCAAAGCTCTGGATGCATATCAAGCTCAGGTTAAGAAGGTTTTAATGTTCACTTCAGCACCCAATATTTGCCACGTTTTAAACTCCTCTCCAGTTTGAGTTTTTTCACATGACACAATTATTGATGTCATCGTTGTTGTCTGTGTGGTGCAGCTAAAGGGTGCTGAGGCGTTGGGAAAGCCTGCCAGGGAGCTGGCTGTGATCCACGTGTCTCTGGCTGCGACCTGCACTGACCTGAGACAGCACAGCCGGGCGGTGGAGCACTACAGGAGGGAGCTGGCTCTACGGCAGGGCAGCCCCACTGAGGTACTGTACACTACATATATCTTACTTTACTTTATCCTCTTTTTTTAAAAGGGCCATTCTATGGTCCTTATGATATAATCTGCAGGGTTAATACAAAGTCTTGCATGCTTGAAAATGCTTAATTTTAACCATATTGTTTTCAGGTTAGGAAATATGCTTTGCTTTATTTTACTCATTGAATATTTAGAATAAAAACTTCCTGTCGTCATAACGATTCGCAGCCTTCCAGTGTCTCTTCGCTAGCTAAGCGCTTACTAAAATTACTATCAAAGTTAATAAGAACATCTGGTTAGAAAAACGTAGTGTCAATATACATTGATTGCTGTGTGTATGATGTAATTATGTCAACTATTCTTTTCAAAAGGACCTTTTTAAATAATAATTTAGATGTGAAGGGGGTGGAAAATGACGTTTTATTACATATTGAAAAATCACCCTTAAAAAGCTGTACAACCCCTGTATTTTGGTCTATGGAAACAGGTAAGTCATGCATAAATATTGTGTATAATATATAGTATTTTTACCAGCTGAATCACCTACAAGATTGTTGGAGAAGACCTTCTTAATAATTGATTTGAAGTATTACTTTAGACTGTCAAACGATTTGACATAATGGAAAATATAAATCTTGTATGTAATTGAATCTTGCATGTATTTTAATCACATGTTTGTTTCTGACTCAGGAGTGTAGCACTTGGCTGAACATCGCTGCGGCTCAGGAGGAGAGCGGCTGTGCGTCGGAGGAAACGGACAGCAGCTACAGTTCAGCCTCACGCCTCGCTGACCAGTCTGCTCAGGCCAGACTGCAGGTGAGCGGGAATATACTTTAGCAGTACTCATTTAATCTAGTGTATTCTCACTTATTTCTTTCTATGTTATACTGTGTATTTTGTACATACTGTATAGATATACATATTTCCTTATTATATATTCATTATTTTGTATTAATATTTATATATTTAATTGTTTTATTTAATGTATTAACTCATGTGCAACGTCTTGATAACCTGCTGCTGCTATAACAAAAATAATTTCCCAATTTTTAAACAACACAGCACATCTATCTATCCATCATACATAACCCACTTCTTCAAATAGCTGCAAATCCTTGTACTTTGCTTAAAGGGGACCTATCATGCAAAATGCACTTTTGTACGTCTTTTATACATGAATATGTGTCCCCGGTGTGTCAGGGAACTCACCAAGTGTCAGAAAACACAACCCTCTCTCTTTTCCTCCATACCCAAATCTCTAAAAACGGGGCTGCAACGGATCTGATACAGATTTGAAAATTCTCTGACGTCAGGAACGAGGAGCTCCGCCTATATGGCCAACTCTCCACCTATCAGGGGAATGAGAGGTTGGGCCACGGCCGGCCATTGCCGCTCGAAAGCGCTGGAGACACTGTAGTACATATGCCAGGCCTGTAAGTGGCGCTGTAGTCTGCCGCAAAAGCAGCGAAGAAGACTTCCCGCGCATGGTTTTCATGGTTGCCCTTCTGTTTATTCTCCGCTGTGGCTCTTTTTCTCCCTCCCCGAGGCAAGCGTTTGCGCCTCCTGCTCCTCTAATTCAATGCAATCCCTCCCCGTCGAGGCAAGCGCTGTAATTCTCTCTGGTTTGCCACCAGCAGATGACAAACACCCACCTCTCCGCCTCTTCCAAGGAACGAGGGGACCGTGTGGCAGAGTTAGATTTTTTTTTTGCCGGTCAACATGTCCGTTAAAGTTTAAATCTTCCAGACAAAATTAGAAAAGTGCCGGTCAAAGGTCTTCTTTGTTATTTATTGAGCTTTAAAACAAATGAATAACGACTCTATATAATCATATAAGAATAAAACACGGAGGACGGAGATCTCTTTTTCTCCCCCTCTTCTGAGAGCCCAGCAGCTGATCTCAAAGCACACTCCCC